CGAGATCGGCATTCCCGCGTAATTCGTCGTCGCTTCGAATCTCGGTGTTTCGGCGATCAGCCAGCCAGCCAGCCATCCAGCCGTCCGTTTTGGGGCCAGCGCGCGTTTCATCGTCAGAAGAGTGAAAGGCACTTCGCCACACGTGGCTCCTCTCACGAGAGAGCGCATCCCGGAGTGTTCGCGCGATATTTTCGCGAGGTCACGTTAAAGGAGCACACACATTCGGAGTCTTCCCGTCGTCCATCAACGCCTCGATACAGCGCTATATATCTATTCTAAAAAAAAAAAATAGCCTTTCGCCTTTGTGTCGTGACATTGTTTCGCTAATTGCGCGCGAATCTGAGCGCAAGAATTCAAGAATTATTCTCGATCGGTCGTCGTTTCTCTACTTGCTAATAGCGCGATTCTGACTGCGACTACAGATAGCGAGGACAAATTCTATCTGGATGACGGCAGTGAAAAAGCGCGCTTGTCGATGCTCGCGAGACGCCCTCGCCGATCGGGGGAGGAATTGATGGAATGTTTGATTGAGGAAGAATCGACGATTGTGGGGATCGGGACGATTGCGGACGATCGTTAATCACGACTCGACAGCGAAGATGATTGCGCGGAATCTGCCAGTGACGAGCGTCGATTACGCGATCAACGCATTTGACGACAAATTTGAGCATCGAGCGATCTAATTCCGTTGGATTGGAAGATTCACTGAATCCACGAACGGCGATAAAGCTTCCTCCGCAGCCGCACGCACAGCTATTCGATCCATTGACTTCGCCTATTAAAAGATAGAAGAGATCCCCAGACTGATAAAATATCTACCGACTGATTAAACGGGATCCGTCGTGGCGCCGAATTTATTCTGACACCATTGATTCTAACGTCATCCGCTTCGCGATCGATTTAGTCTTGATCGAAGATCAGCACAAAGTCGCCTTTCACAAGATACACCTAAACTATCGTCGATTAGCCTAATTACGAGCGAGGACAACTTCGAAATTATTCAACGGCATTCCCGCGTAATTCGTCGTCGCTTCGAATCTCGGTGTTTCGGCGATCAGCCAGCCAGCCAGCCATCCAGCCGTCCGTTTTGGGGCCAGCGCGCGTTTCATCGTCAGAAGAGTGAAAGGCACTTCGCCACACGTGGCTCCTCTCACGAGAGAGCGCATCCCGGAGTGTTCGCGCGATATTTTCGCGAGGTCACGTTAAAGGAGCACACACATTCGGAGTCTTCCCGTCGTCCATCAACGCCTCGATAAAGGGCCAAATATCCATTTTAAAAAAAAAAAATAGCCTTTCGCCTTTGTGTCGTGACATTGTTTCGCTAATTGCGCGCGAATCTGAGCGCAAGAATTCAAGAATTATTCTCGATCGGTCGTCGTTTCTCTACTTGCTAATAGCGCGATTCTGACTGCGACTACAGATAGCGAGGACAAATTCTATCTGGATGACGGCAGTGAAAAAGCGCGCTTGTCGATGCTCGCGAGACGCCCTCGCCGATCGGGGGAGGAATTGATGGAATGTTTGATTGAGGAAGAATCGACGATTGTGGGGATCGGGACGATTGCGGACGATCGTTAATCACGACTCGACAGCGAAGATGATTGCGCGGAATCTGCCAGTGACGAGCATTGATTACGCGATCAACGCATTTGACGACAAATTTGAGCATCGAGCGATCTAATTCCGTTGGATTGGAAGATTCACTGAATCCACGAACGGCGATAAAGCTTCCTCCGCAGCCGCACGCACAGCTATTCGATCCATTGACTTCGCCTATTAAAAGATAGAAGAGATCCCCAGACTGATAAAATATCTACCGACTGATTAAACGGGATCCGTCGTGGCGCCGAATTTATTCTGACACCATTGATTCTAACGTCATCCGCTTCGCGATCGATTTAGTCTTGATCGAAGATCAGCACAAAGTCGCCTTTCACAAGATACACCTAAACTATCGTCGATTAGCCTAATTACGAGCGAGGACAACTTCGAAATTATTCAACAGCATCCTCGTTTGCGCCGATTTATCTGAATGCAGGAGCACTGTTTTTTCTTCTTTCAAGAGACTAATAGAAGCGATTGTAAAGACACGCGATCCTCATTCGAGGAATTCTCCTGGGAATTGAATCGACTTCAAATGAGTTGATCCCGACAATCGATCGAGCTGAGAGTCAAGCTAAGCAAGTGAAACCGAACGAATCTCTTGGGTTAAGGCTCGATTAGTGATAAAGTTACCGCAAAGGTCCGAATCGAGATATATCGAGACATAATCGACATTCTCGCTCGTTGGTCCTCGGTAAAAGGGGACCGATCGTGGACCCTGGTGGTGTCCCGGGGCCGCAGATGGGAACTGGTCTGCTAGAACCCGGCAGGGTGATCAACCCCGTGCAGCAACAGCGACAACAATTGGACGAGTTCCCCGTCGACGTCATCTGCGAACGTCGTCGTCGACCACGAGGCCTCTTCTTCTCCCACCCGATTCGGCCGCGCAAATCCGATCAAGCTGGAATTGATGGAGTTGGAGAACATCGTCGCGAACACTGTGTACCTGAAAGCGAGAGAAGGTGAGTCTTGATTTTATTTATATTGCTATTTTTAAGTTCTTTTTACTTATCTATTTATCAGCGGGAAAAAACGCTTCAGGATTTAATTCTGAACAATTAATTATTCTACAATTACATAAATTCTAATCAATCAATTGTGTTGACACTTTCGCTTTACTAATTTTCTTTTTTAATATGTATGAGTCTATATATATATATATATATATATATATATATATATATATATATATATATATATATATATATATATATATATATATATATATATATATATATATATATATATATATATATATATATATATATATATATATATATATATATATATCGTCTATAAATAAATAAAAAAATTATATCGAGTGAAAGTAGATAAATATTACGTAATTAAAAAATTTGTGCAATTTTTATACGAATGTGCTCTTTTTATGACATATGAATTAGCGGTACACGAGTTATAACATCGAAAACTCTTAACTCTTGATTTTAACCGATTAGCACACAATTCATGAGTACTCTAAATTTTATCGTTTTATCGTGAGATTATCATTGAGAGTGACGACTGTGAGTATTATGTAGCTGCAAGAATCATTTTATGACATGTAATAATTAATGGTGCGTCGCTTACAACGCGTGTCAAAAGCAGTTATTGAGTTTGGTCGATTAATGCATGCACCGAACGCACAATTTCGGTATTGTATACCTACGTACGCGTATATAGTCTTTTCGGAGCACCCTGTACAGCGTTATTACCCTGTGTACGCTTGGACGACATTTATTACGAGCGTAAAATCGCTCCGCAATTTTAACTGCGAGATTGAACGTTCGAGTTTAACGCACAACATTCATTCGCAATCGTTACGTTTGCGTCATTTAACGCATCGAACTGCTACCATTGAGAAAATTAACTATCGAGTGCGTATTTTGACGTAAACAAGAATAAACATAATAATTTCGTAATCGTAATTATTTCTCTCGAGGTTGGAATATAATTTACGTCCGCGGAATAAAATTTGTCTTTTTGTAATTTTTATCACGTTACACGAAACTTACATCAATATTAAAAAACTTTCGATCGTAAGAATTACATAAGAAATTTGCGCGTTTAATATTTTCTGTATTTTTATTACATGTATAACTTTGATTATTGTTATTGATAAAAAAATCCATCGATGACTTTTATAACTTGTCACTAATTGAAAGATGGCAAACTTTTGCAATTGTCATTATCATTATATATATTTAGACACGATGCATTGGATCGAAGAATGCCTATTCGGCGAAGGCATTTATGACGGCTTAGTGTAGGTGTTCGTATTTTAACGCGCCCGTAAAAACGATCGTGATACTCGCGTCGACAGCTAAAGCGCCGTAACGCGAATGATAGAACGAAATAAAAAAATCTTTACGGCGAAAGAGAGAGAGAGAATTGTTTTTTTTCACTTTTGGGGGGCCCGAGAGACGCGCGTTTTAGCACACCTATCTCTCGTCATAGGCGCTGGTAAAATACGAAATAAAATAAACACCGAATTCTTATTTCGCTTTATTCCCATCAAAATTGATTTGTGCACCTACGTTAACCGAACACTTTTTGTTTTTGTTTTTTTTGTTCGTGCCATATACATACCTAAATTTTTTCTTTTTTCTTTCTTTTCTCTTTTCTTTCTTAAGGTTGCACAATAGAAAAGATTTCAGATTTAAGGAAATAATGAAACAAATAGAACAGAATTTACAGAAAATGAGAAATTCAGAAAAAATGAGTAAATATTATAAATTTCAACGCAAAAAAAAGTACGAGATTAAAAAAAATTGAATCAAAAAACATAAAAAAGAAACTATATCCATTCAATTTTTTGTGGAATTCATGAAATAAAAAATAGATGTAATAATAGATTGCAAAAGAATAAATATTTATTAATTACAAAACGCAAAAAATAAAAGAGAAAGCAATCTCATGAGCACAAATATATATGTCATACTTAATTCGTGAATCCGTAGCGTCGCGATACACATGACGAACAAGCGCTTTAACGTTGGCAAACTAAAAACGAAATTACGGTGTGTATCGCACCGAGCCGATATCACCCGTCGTATATTCAGTACTTAATTGATATACAGAACGAAAGAGAACGAGAGGAAAAGAGAGAAAAAGCAAATTGTATATGAAATATCGCTGACGATATTTCAGCTGCGTGAGCTCGCTTCAAAGTTTTTGTAAGAACAACTTTTTTTATGTTTTTTTTTCTTTGATGGCAACATCAAAAAGATATATTTACAGTTGCAGAACTTTTAAAACAGTACGTGTATAAATTTTAAATAATCGGAAAACATCCTAAAGTATTATTAATTGCTTCTTTTTTCTATGATTTTCATTTTTAATTTTAATTACTATTTAATATATAATCGGCGTCTCCGAATGATTGAGACGGTTTTCTTAATAGATAACATATTTATTTTACATGTTTATTCCTAGGAAATCAACAAAGAAATCAAAAATTGTTAATAACAATTTAAGAAAATGTTAAACTCTATGTTAAATGTTTCAACATATTTCATATAAAATGGACGTTATAAACAATAAATAACTATTTTAATAGTTAACACTATTAATTTGGAATTGTATAAGGATAATTCCGTAGAACTCATTTATGGAACAAAGAACATCATAATTTCGTGACGCCGGCTAAAATCACTTAATTCAATCATACATATCTGTGTATGACTTTTTATAACATGTTTGATTTTTGCATATCATCTTGACTCACACGATTTTATTTTTTATGATTCTGTTATTATAAAAAATTCTACAATACGAGCGATCGGTTTCTCTTACAATTAACGACGTTTCGCGATTACTTGAGAAACTCGAGCCGACAAAAATAGCATTTCCCGCGCACCTCTAACGTGTACATCAAAAAGATAGGGACTCGAGAGATTTTTTGCAGGGTCAAATGCTGGATTCGATTCTGTTGCCGTCTATTTTTAGCCTCGTCAGAGGGTACAATGAACTTTGCCGCTGACAGGGAAACGTGACGTTTCACCTCTCGTTATGCTCCGCGCGCGCAGCCCATCCCGCAGGATATGTCATATAAGTATAGGCATTTCAAAATTTCCCACGCTTCTTTTTTTCACGTGAGAATTCATAGTTTGATCTTTTTCTCTAACAACGATTGTTTTCTTCAACACAACGAAATTTCTGATAATAAGAAAATATTTTGTTTGTCTCTTAAGAAAAACGCAATTTTTGAATTGCAATTTTATTTTGTGTCCAAATAATTCTGTTTTGGAGAAACAAAAAATATCTTCTGATCGAAGAAAAAACAAACCTTTTTTAAAGATTAAATTTTAAAACACTTTAACCGTGTTAATTTAATTAAAGGATTTAAAGTATTTCACGTTAAATTTCGAGGATGAAAGTAGACAATGGATTAATTCTTTTTAATCCTTAAATGGACTTTATTTTAATGGAATTTATTTCCAGAGACTGAAAGCTCGAAGTCTCCGGAAGTTTTCGAATAAAATTTACATAGAAATCATGATTACGTTCTCCTAACTTGAAACTGAGCTCTGCCGATCACCGCAAATTACGATCGGCTGGCGACGAGTCGAGGGTTACCACCACCGGCCGACGTTTAATTAGTAAATTACGAACGACGTCCTGTCGAAGAGAGTGCAGGCGCGTGATGGTCGGAAAGTAGGTAAATGGATTCGCGTGATAGATACTACATCAATAGCCTTGTAATCGCAACGCCTTGATAAACTTTACAAATAAAAGCCTCGGGAGGAGCCCTGGCAGAGCCGCGAATTATGTAAGTATACAGGAGAGCCGATAGTTAATTAACGGTCTATCGTACTCGTCGTAACACGGCGACGTTATTAACGGGGCACTCGATTGACAAATGACTGTAATCAATCTGTTGCGTCGGCGAAAAACTTTCCAGCTTACGAAATCCCAATTTATCGCGCGTTCTCTTGTTGCGTCTGCGAAGCCATTGCCTTGTAACGTTCGCGTGTCGGGAGGTGTGCCCCCGATGTTGTTAATCTCGGATTAACTCTGGAGGACACGGTGCGCCAGTTTTGCATACGTAAAGCACGTCAAAGTCTAATGGTGTCAATTAGAGTTCCGGCTTTCTTTTCACGAACTCTAGGGATTGACGGCTACGAAATCGCGTTTGAAAAACGGAATGTTAACGCGTTCACTATCGAATCTAATTTTTATTCTGAAGAGAATTAATTTTTTTTCGGATATAATAGAGGATTCTTGACAATTTCAGCATTGCAGAAAAAAAAGTTAAAATTTAATTTTGAAGTATAATTGTGACGATTAATTAATTTATAAATATGTGTGTACTTATGAATTCTTAATAATTTAAAAAAAAACTAATATACACGACATCTCCAAAATCATAATTCGTGATATAATAGAAATGGCACGCTATTTGTGGATGAAATGTAACATCAAGTAAAAAAATGTAAAATAACAAGACGAGACGATACATTATGCAATTGTCTGCAGGAAGATGCATTTCACGAGATGAATACCAACGTGTTTGTATAATCGAAAATTACGTTTCAGGTCGAGTTCTGGGAACCCCAATTATCGTAATGATAGCAAAGTAGATACGCGTAATGCAATTATCGGAAATGAAGCTACGAGTTTAGCTATCGCATACTGATATAATTACGTGATGACGAGACATGAGAAAATTCTACGACGGAATGTGAGTTGTCGCGGACAAATTACCAGTTCGGAGTAACAACAACTATTTTAAGTCATAATATAATGATGTAAATTGCGCTTGTTACTTGGTCGCTAGTGTTGATAAAATGTAATAGAGCGAACAAGTGAATATTACGATTATTTGCTAGATGAAATGTATACGAACAATGCGTAACGCGACGCGTTTATTTATTTTCCGTTAAAAATTTTAGAAAGTTATTTAAGTTAAAGAGGAAGAGCTGAATCGCGAAAAAGATAGAACAAAAACAGAGTAAATTAATATTATAAGTTTATTTAAAATATTTGCAACCTTGGTTTGAATCCTGCAATATTGCTTACGGTTATATGATCCCGGATATCTTTTCTTTTTCTTTTATAGATTTCTCGAAGATGCGCGCAAATAATCAGCTATTTTATCTTTTCCTTATGCAATTAATTAAATCGAATGCGGTTTTTTATTTTGCGACATTGACAGCACGACTATACATCAATTAGATAAGATCAGTTGCATAAGTTGGTACATCGTTATATCATCGATAATTCTTTTTTTTTTTTATTTTATCTGTCACAAGAATGTATTTAAATAGAATTAAAGAGATTATTAGGTATTAATTAAGAGAAAATAGTTATTGGAAATTTGCTTTATGTATACTAATTTTAGCCTTGCCGGTTCTTTTATACCTACAATTAGACGAATTCTTTAAATTCTTTAAAAAGTTTGACATCGGTTTTTTTCTTAAAATACAGTATAATCGAGTGCTTTCTTTTTATATATCTCTCGTTTTATATATATCATTGCAGTTTTAAATTTGTATTATTATTATACAACACAGGACGCTTTCAATTAAAAATAATGTCGTTGATTCGTTCAAGCTTATTTTGTGATAGATTCTCGTCTTAAAAGTAACTACGTGAATATAGCTCTGAGAATTTTTAAAGCTCATGATTTTTGCATAATCTTTTATTTTTAAATATGTAATTATAAAACAACAAATTTCTCCTACCTAAATCTGTTAAATGCATATTGGAAAACGAGTAGATTAATTTTACATAAATAAATAAATTGAATTAATTAATTTAATATAAATAAATAAATAAAAATTAATTTAATAGTTTCACGTGCTACTAACTTATTATTAGTTTAAAATTATTTCTGATTTTTCTCTACGCTCTGGGAAAAAGAGACAGATTTATAGCGTTCTAGCTTTTATTCAGGGTTTTTGCACTTTGTATAGAATTTCTGTTTTAGAGATACGATATACAGGGTATTAAAAAAAAACCATTCAATATTTATATGATAGGACACACTATATTGAGCAAAAAAACCTTAGTAAACATAGGTCGAAAGCTCAACCGTTTCTGAGATATAAACATTTTTGTATGTTAGCATCATGATTGACTTACTAGCTTCTACGTGTCGCATGCGATGTTTACCTCAGTGTTTATAAACATCATTCTGAATATCCTCATTCAATTTCCATACATACTTCGTAACAGAAAATTTCACCGGCAATCAGTTAGTTGTCATCAACCGGCGATTGCGGATCTTTGTGATTCGCAAAAAGAAGATATATATTTTTTTTTTTTTAAATACGCATCTCAAGATAATTATACGAAATTTATTTGTTGTCCTATCTCGATGTCAATTTAAAAAAAAAAAAGAAGTAAAAAGTTGAAGTCAATTTTAAACAAAAGATATGATTTAATCATAAAAAGCACGCATATTTCATACCATAACTCACATACTATTTTTACGAATACTTTTTTCACGGGTCGCATTTAACGATTGATGGTGAGATACGACAGATTCTGCAAGGCAGGATGCAGCGCGTGCATTGGACAGGTCCTCGTTCCGCGCAATGCAATTCACACGCATTGGAGCACCGCGTCGCGTTTCCTCCCCCGTTTTCCTCCCTTTTCCTCCACCGATGTGGAAGAGAAGGTGGAGCTACGCGACCCCCGACTTCCGCTCGTTGGGATCGAACGAGCGGGCCCGTGGTACGTCGACAAAGTACAGGGTGTCTCGAGGAGAGCATAAACCGATATACTCGGACACTCTATTTGATTCTCTCGAATCGACTCGAGTCTTAATGAATATTTTATTTGAAGCTTTGAGTGCCATCTTTTTTATTTTCTCGATATTGAATAATTTATCAATGTACAATTTAATCTTTTTTTTTCATCAAAGTGAAAATAGTACTATTTTATCGTAGAAATTGCGTTGCTAATATTTCTCATGGATTATTCATCACATAATAAAAGTAAATTGCGTTGATTTCATAGAATTGAGTTTACTCGGTTTATTTTTATTGTTCCAGTTCTCTCTATTTGATATTTCAGTTTATTATTCGTCAACATTTTTAACATATGTATTGTCAATGCACTTGCGAACAAATATGGAAAGTTTTTACCCTGATATATTCTCTATATAATCGACTTTCTTGTCATATAATCCATTATCTTGGTACAACAGAGATATAAGCTTTCTTGGAATGACCTGTACAATGAGGTGTTCACGGAAGCGAAAAACTTGGAACCTAGTATCATGCATCTCTCCCCCGTACATTTCCTTCCGCGTGCTTTTCCGTGTGCTTTTCGTTTTTCCGCACAATCGATACTGCCGTCGTCGCGCGGGAGATTTTGCGGGTTCCGCGATGGAAGCTATGGCGTCTTTTTGTCGTAACCGGAATTCGTTTAACGCAAATAAATGTACAGTGTTTTTTCATGAAATTTATATACTTTCATCAATTTCTTTCATTCGCGTATTGTGCAATTAAATTGCAATCGAGCGTTCATTTTTAAGCATATTTTTAATTAATATAAATAAAAAATTTTGTATTCCGATGCATCAAAATTCACTTGGGATATAAACTTTTGTCATCTCTATTTTCATTTTGGAAATTAAATTCTATAGATTTCCACTTGCTTATATGTATATACAACAAGAAACGCTAAAAAGTTATAATAATATTTTGACATTTTGTCTTGAAAATCGAATATATATTGATTAAAAAATCCTATAGAGAATAAAGTATGTGTAAATGAACATTTTGTGCGCTACAAAACTATCTATTCTCATAATAATTCTCGGCAATAAACTTTTTTTGATTTGTTATGCTGTTTTTATAATAGCAAGATTATTCAATAATAAATCTCCCAATGTGATGACATATAAGTACATATCATATACATAACTCGTTATTATATGCGCAGTATCGCGTAGAATGTGCATTGTAATGCGTTATTGAACATTATGATGTTCGCATCGAAGATATTAATAAATTTCTGTTAACACGCACGATAGTGTTTCGCTGTCAGAGTTTGCCATCGCAAGTAACGTTTTGCATATGAGGTGATTCATGGTCCGCGGTTGAAGGAGGATGAAAAATACATCAGAAGATTAGTTTACCGAAAGCATTTTTGATCGCTCATACTTCAAATAACATTGGTTTTTCTTTCTTGAGAGATATTAAAGAACAATTATAGTTTTAAAAAATCACAATTAAATTGATATCGGAGATTTTGGGATTTATTTATCATATTTATTAAACAACTGTATTCTTGTTAAATTAGAATATGCATGTATTTAAATAAATACAATAATTTAGCTAATTTTATTTTATATATAAGTCCTGAATTTTTTTTTAGCAATTTATTATTATCCATTGTTATTATTTTATTATCAAAGATACATATAGAAGTGGCAAAATCAATTTTGTCAAGAAATAAAATGTGGAATTTTATAGACCGCGCGCTATACAATAAAGAAACGAATCTTTTTCAAATGGTTTCCACTGAAGGAAACGCAGAAACTGAACGTGGGAATATTGTATGTATTTCCGGTGATGAATTATGTGAACGGCAAAATGGAATAACTTTTTTTCTCGTTTAGCTTCTATCTCAATGGGTTTCGAGTTTAATGTCGTTTCGAATTCTACGAAGTGCCGAGATAAATCTTGTAATGCTGATCCAATATGCCGTTATCTCTGTCTGAGTAAATTCCGTAACTTCCGGCACTTTTCAATCCGGAATTTCGCTGTCCATCCGCCGTGAAGACGTTTGCGAAGCACCTGCTTCAGAATCGAATGGACGTAAAGACTTTGCGCATAATTTTTTTCTTAAATTTGCGTTTTCATATTTTTCGAAATAATTTCAGAGTGTATAAATTATTGATTAATTTATGATAAAAGAATATGAGAACTTTAATATTACAATACGTGCTTTTATAAATATCTTTGATATTACACACATGTGTTGTGTGCTGTAATGTCAATATCGAAAAATATTTGGCAGAATAATTTTATCCTACAATATATAAATTTTTTTCTAAATATACATGATTGTTTTTCTAGATATCTTGTTTTTCTGTCACTATCGAATAAAAATTACGTTGATAACGAATAAAGCAATAGTTTTATTTTTAATCTGCCTTTGATGCTCTGGATCTATCAATATGACGCACGTACATGGGGAATTACTACAGATTCCGCTCGAATTTTAATTAATGGCTATCATATGCGTAAACCATGCGCGTATTCGTTTTTATCATCGTTTTAATTAACGCACAACGGCATAGATATGGAAATTGGAAAATTTTTCCTCTTATGTACGCGATGATAAAATTTCCGATGAAAAATTTGAGATAGCTTGTAGTGATGCAACAAAATTCGCGGTAGCGTGAAAAAAGAAAATAGGAAAAAAAAAAGTTGTTACGGTATTAATATATTCAAACGATGATAATACTTATTATTTCGTGTGTTTCGATGCTTGTACATTTTTTAAAGTCTCCGTGTTTCTTTCTACACAGGCGGTGGTGACAGTAACAAGGGCAAGAGTAAGAAATGGCGGAAGATACTTCAGTTCCCACATATTTCCCAATGCATCGGCCTAAAAGATAAACTGGGTGAGTTTTTAAAACCAAAGATATAGAAATTAGAGGAGCTAGAAAAATCTTAGAAAAAGTTAAATTAATTTTATCAAAATAATATTTTGTTTCGGCACGATTTTTGCGACAATGAACGTCCTGTGTAAGGCTCGTTTAGTAGCCTCGTGATTATTGAATCTCGATATGCAATGCGTATCTACACAGTTGTTGAAAAAAAATTGCAAGAGAGGAAACGAAACAATCGCTCGTTGCGTGTCCTGTTAACCTACTCTGATAAGGTCCTCCCGACTAATGGAAACTCACGGAAGAATGCATCTCTCTTAAGTTGATATACGTATATATGTAAATAAGTCACTACTTTAAAATATTCAACAAATTATTTCTCTGAGTATCATTATTTTAACTTATTTGTAATATTATAAATATTTGATAAATTATTTTATTATTCATTATTATTTTACTGTAGAATATTGATATTTTTTTAACAGAATATTATCATTTTTTTAATTATGATACTTCTTTAATTTAAACTTAAGCTAAAAATATCTTCTTTATAAAGAAGTCAAAATATTTTTTTATGGAAAATAGATCTATATTACTTTATAATGTAAAATTAATGTAATATTTGATATCACTTGAATTAAGCTGAAATAATCAAATCAAATTAAATAATTCAAAAGTATTTAAGTCAATTTCAAATCACTTTTTATTGAATTCCATAACATATCTAGAAATATATTTTTATCTACTTTTGAAAAAAGATAGAATGATGTAAATCTTTTTGGAGACGAGTTTTCTCGAGATATATATAATCCGCTTTTAAAAGGACCAGTATCAAATTTTCAGTTGAATTAAATCTGCATTGAAAATATACATTTGAAGTACAAATATCATTTATTTCGTTGAAAATATTATGTTAGCTTTTTCAACATTAAGGAATCAACATGAGAATATAATTATCATAATTCGCGATGTCGAACAGACATCAGGTACGGCTATGTGGTGGACCAGCAGCCGATCGGGCGGCTGCTCTTTCGACAGTTCTGTCAGAACAAGAAACCGTCCTACCATCGTTACAATCTGTTTCTGGACTCGATCGAGAAGTACGAGATCGAGCTAGATGAAAATCGTATCGAGCTGGCGAAGGAGTTGTTCGAGCAATATCTGAAGCGGGAGGGTTCGGAAGTGGTTGACATCCTGAACGATTCCCTGATCTTGCAGTGCGAGGCACGACTTAGCACTGGTGGTAAGGAGCTCTTCGTCGAGGTCGCGCAGACCGTGAAGAATTTCCTGGCTGGCGAACCATTCTCGGCCTTCCTCAACAGTTTCTATTTCTACAGGTAAAATATCAATATATCAATTTTTGAGATTTCCATAAAGTTCCTACATTTTGGAAGCATCTTTTCTACGTCTCTTCAGGTATCTCCAATGGAAATGGCTGGAGGCGCAACCGGTGACATACAAGACCTTCCGGATGTATCGAGTGTTGGGCAAGGGCGGTTTTGGTGAGGTCTGCGCTTGTCAAGTGCGCGCCACAGGTAAAATGTATGCGTGCAAGAAGTTGGAGAAAAAACGTATCAAGAAGCGGAAGGGCGAGTCGATGGTGCTGATCGAGAAGAACATCCTGCAGAAGATCAACTCCAAATTCGTCGTCTCGCTCGCGTACGCGTACGAGACGAAGGACGCGCTCTGTCTCGTGCTGACAATCATGAACGGCGGCGACCTCAAGTTCCACATTTACAACATGGGCGGTGAACCAGGTTTCGACATAATTCGCGCCCGATTCTATGCGGCCGAGGTGGTGTGCGGGCTGGAACACCTTCATCTTCAGGGTATCGTCTACAGGGACTGCAAACCAGAGAACATACTGCTGGACGATCATGGTCACGTGAGGATATCCGATCTCGGTCTTGCGGTGGAGATCACTGAGGGCGATATGGTGCGTGGTAGAGTTGGCACGGTGGGTTATATGGCGCCCGAAGTGATCGACAACGAGAAGTACACCTTTTCACCGGACTGGTTCAGCTTCGGTTGTCTATTATACGAGATGATTGAGGGTCAGGCACCGTTTCGCGCCCGCAAAGAGAAGGTCAAGCGCGAGGAGGTCGATAGACGCGTCAAGGAGGATCAGGAGAGGTACTCACCCAAGTTCAGCGAAGAAGCCAAGAGTCTATGTCAGCAATTGCTGAAGAAGAGTCCGAAGAACAGACTCGGTTGCAAATGCGGCCGACACGGGGCGAAGGAGGTGAAGCTCCATGGTTTCTTTCAGTGTTTGAACTGGAAGAGGGTCGAGGCCGGTATGTGGGATCCGCCATTTGTGCCGGATGTAAGTAGGTGGTTTTGATCGATCGTCTTATCGACATCGAAACTTTGTTTCTCTTTTGCTTTACTCTCGTTACTCACGTTTTTGCATTGAACGTCTATTTGTTGGTTTACTTATCGTGTAACATAAAAGTTACGATAATTACGTCAAAAAAAAAAAAAAAATCGTTATAATATTTATAAATTTATTTTTAACGCATATATTATCGGTTATATATTACAACGCGTGAAATTATTTTCTGGTAACATAAAAATACTAATTTAATGGGGTATCAAAATCATTAATCATTGCACGCTATTGTTACAGCCTCGTGCGGTTTATGCCAAAGATGTTTTGGACATTGAGCAGTTTTCCACAGTAAAAGGTGTCAATTTGGACGCCACGGACGATACCTTCTATAGCAAGTTCAACACTGGCAGCGTATCCATTCCATGGCAAAATGAGGTAAGTGACGCATCACACGCAATAGACATCACACATTCGTATCGTAATCATCGATTATGAGACATGTTGCGGCTCACGGAGGCCTTTGACCCTTCTCATAAAAATAATATTTACACGACACTCAGCAGACGGCCACTTAACGAAATCTTTATTATAACGTAAATCGTATTCTTCGCGATCGTTCATGCGTGAATTTTTTGACAAATTTAAAAGATTAATTTTTTTCTTTGAGAAAATTTTGAAAGAGTACATTGCTCGTATAACATCTTTTTGTGAATTCCGAGATCAAATATCTCGGATTAAAACTCGAGTTAAAATTTAAAAAAGTTAAGTATATATAACTTTAAAATCATGCAGTGATAAAATTTTGTTATCTAATTGCGCTTTAAAAACTTGGTTCTCTGATTGCGCGAGAAGAAAGTGTTCGTTTCACTTTCCGAAAATATTATACGCGTTGCAACATCTGGGGAACGATGCAAGCACTTGAATCGAAAAATACATAGCTCGTGGCAAAGTGTTTTCCTACGTCAGAGGTAGCGCAAGAGGCACTCGTTATCACTGGCGTTATTCGGGCTGGATGTATTTAAAGCCGCGATGCTGCGTAGACGCGTTACACACGAGCCACCTTTAGCTTCTGCCGATCTTAAATCACTCATCATGCACCTCGCAAACCGAGATCGTTGAGCTGCAATCTCTGATCTCTGACGCGTTCGTCTTCGTTTTCTTCTTTTGCAGATGATAGAGACTGAGTGTTTTAAGGAGCTGAACGTACTAGGTCCTAACAACACGCCCACCCCAGACTTATTGGTAAATCATACTCCGCCCAACAATGAGGACAGAGGTTGTTTTCCCTTTCGGAGAAAGGTAATTTGTGTTTTGCAAATTTTTCTTAAACTTATTTTAATTTAATTTTCAATAAAACAGAAATGTGAAAAGCATCTAAAATATATCGAAAAGATTAGGATATCTTTTAAATGCTTCAAAACGTCTAGAATTTAAAGAATTATTTTTTATACACTTTTTACAATCAAAGATTACAGAAAAGATAACAATTGCAATGTTTTTTGAACGTTTGTGGAAGATCTGGCATATTTTTTAGGCGCTAAATTAATTTTTTATAACTGTAAAAAGTTATTAAAATGTTATTACAATGATATATATAAATTATATTAATTATATATATTACAATTATATTACGCAGAGAAAGCAGAGCGCTCGTACAAGGGAGGTGCCACTGTCAGAGTGTTACCTGCAAGAGTTATCGCAGACGCAGAGCTCAGAAATGCCGGCCAGCTGATCCAGGATGAACGCAAGTAACAGCCTGAATCGATCGACGTCGTCGCCGTTTCGACACTGTTGCCGCGGCTGACGACGACGTATGTCCAGACGCTGCTGCCAGCGGCTGCTGTGATAAGAGCAAGCCGATCTCTGATTTTTTCTGTCGACAGCATCCGAATTCTCGGTAACTGTTTACGAACGCGGCTACACGGCTCGCTTAATGGGAAAGCACTGCGACTGCGAACCTAAAGCGTCATGGTTCCCGAGACATTCTCTTGGATTCATTAGATCGGGTCTGATTGGATCCGCGCGACAAGAATTCGCGCAATTCTACATGCGTACACGTCTACGTATAAGATAGTCATACACGACATATGCCAGTATTGTATACAGTCAGGTGGTAGGTATATATTCGTTATTAAATATATCTTCCTCGGGCACGACACGCACTTTTGTGCGTATATCGACCTGCTTTATTGAGCCTCGATGTGTCTCGATTTATGAATCACAGACGAGGATTTAAGGTGGCATATATGCATAGATAATTATTTTATTCGGTATGATGACAAAATAGGTGTCATTTTCCAAAAACGAAGGAAATCTATAAGTTTCACAATATCTTATTTCTCATTAACCATGAAATGCTCGAAATTTTCAATCTCGAATTTCGGCTGTATCTAAGTTGAGAAGTAACTTAGGAGGGATGAAAAAAAAAACGTATATTTAAGTGTACAAAAATGCAAGCGGATGTGCAATCATTTGCGTATGTAAAAATTTTTTATATGTACTTACGACAATTTTTTTAAAATTGAGACCACGTATATATGTACAAAATTAATTTATATGATACATTGATTTATTTAAAGAGTGCTTTCTTCGTCGCATTTATACGATAGAACTTTTTTTTGTATCGCTTTATTTTTAACGATCTAGAGATTCGTTGCCGTACCATCGAAAGAATCGAAGAGCATCATTTTGATGCGCGATCAATCAAGTGCGAGGAATCGTATATGTGTGAGTATGCCGCAATATAACTTTATTTATATTCGAATCGTTTTAAGTACTTTCCGAGAATCTCGAAACGCACTCACTTGATCTAGTTTTCGGTCGATCCCGATATGCAGTTTGTAAGGCCGTATTGTCGGAAGCGATTAAACTAGATGGCCAAGAACTTCGGGTCGTAAATTTCGGAACACGCGCGAATGGCTTTTATGATTTGATGAATATCGCGCTCGATAGGATCTGAGATGAAATTCGCGTGTTGGCCAAAATAGAATAAGACTGGCGCGTAGACGAGCGATAACGCGAGCGCGCACGTGGAACCGACAGGTCATAAAAGAGCACGTGACCTGGCGCTCGCTCGTTCCCGCGGTGTATCGCGACGTTAAGCTACCGGTAAACGGACACCCGATACCACCGCGGAACAAATAAACGTTCGCGTGCACGCTCGCTCGTTTATAAACGTTAACTCGATACATATATACTAGAGGTTGAAGGCACGTGCGTGTAATGTGAAAGCGATGCAGTGGAATTGATTGGCGCCGAGAAGGATATATTGATAAGGCAATATTGTCACAAATGTGGTGACATCGAATAAATTCAATAAAATGACGAATAAAAATAAATGTAACAGAATGTTTCCGGTTGTTTCACGTTTTCGTGAAATAACATGAACAATTCGCGTCTGCTCGGATGTTTTTAACACATTGTACGATTTTGGTTTAACCGCGGATTGGCGTTATCGCTAATTCACATAAATGGGCAAATGTCCAGAAAACAAGGAACGAAGGATAATAAACGGGAATTGCGTCTGTCGACAGTTTCGAGCGTTATGATCGAGCGACATTCGATATCGTTTAGTTTAACAGTATTTTTCAAAACGTAATTATAATAGTCGCGTATCATTTCTCAGTATCTTTATCTTTTCAGTATCTTCTTTTATCTCTTGAAGAAAGACGCGAAAAATTTCACAATGAGTTGATCCAGTATTCAATGTCGACTTGGATATAATATGATTAGATACAGTTTTAATAATAAAATAACAATTCTAACAAATTTTAGAGAGAACTAAACTCTTAATCTGTCAAATAATCTATCGTTAAAATTAGATTAAAATCGAAGATTCCGGGCCATCCTACTTATCGAAAGAAATGATACTATTATAATATACTAAAGCTTCATTTTTATTACAAAGTATCTGAGATTTTGACGATTTATTTTCTGTCGCGTGGCAGATAAATTCCTGCGACACTTCAGTAATGTTGTCTGAGAAACGAGCGAGGAGATTTCGCGAATCGCGCGACGGATCGGATTAACGACACACTTTCGGACTGTTTGCGAGCACTTTGGCTGTACTCCAATCGTGATTCGCGTGCCAACGATTGGAGTTCTTTGGCTATTACATATCTGACAGAGTTGTCGCGGGCCACCGTGCCGAGAATGTCGGGTAACTTTTCTTTTTAATGCATCTCGTAAACTGGGATGCGAATGTCGATGCACTCAAAATTGCTCTTCTTAATCTCATTGAGAATCTCTGTGACAGGAATCGATTCGCTGATAGATTCGCACAAAAGATAATATCGCAGAATCGATCGATATTAAAAGTAATAGTAAAAATAGTTTGCAAAATTGTATTTTTATCTTAACATTTTTAAAAAAAGATTGGCTCAATGATTGTTGCGTGAACATATAGTAATTAGTCTTGAAAATCTGCTATCAGACGTTATATGTGTAGCTTTTCCTCGAAAAACGACAAAGAGATAATTAGATGAAATTATTAAATTAAGATAAATGTTTGAAGAGCTCATTCTAGATTTACAAGCGGCACAAAAAGTGTATAAGAATTTTCTTATTTCCTTTTTATTCGTAAAGGAATTATTGTTAGCAAGAGAGATTACACAAACGAGATCGCACAAACAGGCTCACGCACGCACATATAAATTAATGCGAATTGACGAAAGGTATACGTATATCGAGATTTTCAAGTTGTATTTTTCAAATTGATAAGCAAGAACGTGGATAAATTTTTGTGGAACAAATTAAAAATTGTGCATTTATTACCACGACATTATGCCACTGATGAAACAAAAATAAGTTGCAAAATTCAGTTGTTATTATAATGCAACGATTCACAATAAGAAGCACAAATTGCGTCTAGCAATCGCCGTACGAACAATACTCCGAACAAACTTCTCATGGCTCTATGTATTGTCAAGATAATTACTCTTTATGATGATTATACGCTAAAATAAGTAAGACTAATTTACTGAGAACGAAACTGATCGAAGAATGGAGGTCAAATGTCTCGGTTAAGTATTAGGAGAATTGATCATTTCTTATGTTATGTTTAAATATTTTCTCTTAGCATACATATGCCGGATTTATAATATTAAACATGCACATTTGAAGAAAAAATTATTAAATATTAACATATCATATTTTGAAAAAAATATCGCAAAAGATGTTATTTTAGAGAGAATTCTCTCTCTTTGTTTTGTACAGGTAATTTAAAACGACGACTTTAAAAGCAATATTTCTGCAAACAAAAAATTCGAGATCTCTTTCTCTCACAATTCAGAGCATTATTTTTGATACTCGGCTGATATTTGACGTCCATTTTTCAACGCGCAAGTAATATCGGACATTGAAATGATAGGACATGTACATCTAACAGAGAACAATGACTGGAGTGATTTAAGTTAACTGCTAATTAAACTTTCCCGACGTCGATTCTTATCACTGATACATAATTTACGTAGTAAACATGTTATTCTATCGCACACGCTGTAACGATTATGTCAACCGGCTCGACATCAAATGTGTGATAAAGCAAGTGTGAAAAACCCCTCTCATCAGATAAATCGCGAAATATGCACTCGCTCATGACGCACTATGTCACACGACAGTTCTCTCATCGTCGACGCGGACGCGAAAGCATTACTATTCGTTAAAATGTAAACAGAAAGAGAATATTTTTTCTTTAATTTGGTTTAAAAAGATTTTAAAACTAATCTTAAAATTTAAAGATTAATTTGCAGATAGATATTTAATTAGTACAATAACTTATAAATAAATAAATTATTACTTAATTGTTCATACAAAAATGGATCTTCATCTATTTTTGTGCGGGGAGATACTTTAAGCTGCTAAATATTCAAAAATTAGCGATGTTCAGTTTGCAAAATTTTACTTAACGATATAATCAATTTGTGATTATTTGCGATTGATCCTCTCCGCGTCGGCAAAACACTTTAGAATAGAGAATCTCTCGTTATCTTTTAACTGTGATTTCTCGAAATGTCTTCTGTTTAATCCTGCTACATTTTTAATTTATATCGAATGGTCCAGAAATATTTTTTAAGACATTATTTCTCTTGTTGCGCATTCATCGTTTTATATCAACACGTGTAAGATATTTCGATCTAAGATCTGTTACGAGATCTACTACAGTCTACAATAATTGTAGACTACGCGATGTTCGACTATTATACATATATTCAGAAAATACCAAATTATTTAATAATTTTTCTAAGTAAGTAAGCGCGTAACTTATTCACATATATATATATGCATATACATATATATTTTTGCCTATGTATGTAACGTAGATATAAATAGGTATATACGTATATATACGATAGACTGCTCTGAATATACTTTTGCAAATAGCATTTGCTCCTCTTGTAAAATTCATATTTAAATTACGCATCTGTGTAAGCATTTCATTGGCGCGATTACATATACGATATGTGGATTAGAGAGATATTCTGTAATTAAAATCTCATCTAAAGAGGAAGAGAATCTTACTTTGGAAATGTCAGATTATATATCGCTCTTGTTGCCTGTACATAATTATATTCGCACGCAATTGTCTCGAGCAAGCTCGAGGCCAAATTTTCTCTAATGATGATGGATTAATTATTGAATAATAATGAAAAAAAGGAATGTTTAACTTAAAAAGATGGATATGTATATCCTCCGCGTTAATATTTGTCGTACTAACATTTGGTAATTCCATTCCATTTTGAAACGCGAGTCTTTGTCCTTATCTTTACAGGATATTGAAAGGATCCTGAAAGAATAATTAGATGATAGTTAAATGCCTGAACAGGTACGTTACTTGTGCCAGTTTGTCATGTCTGTTGTATGAGAGAGACTATTTTGAAACAGGCTAAAAGTATTAGAGAGCGCACATGCGTCTTCAAAGACGATCAAAATCGATCGCAGCGAATGTGTGAAAAGCGAATTGCGCGCTTAAATTAGATTCGTCCGATTCTACGCGTCGTTGGTTATATATAATTTCGATGACAGACAATGACAGATCCAAATACCACGCGGTCTCCAATATGCCAGTATAATTTAGAATTAATCGATATAGGTAAACAACAGCAGTTTTATTTTAGATTACATTTTATATCAATCTTGGATATATTATTTTTTTCTGTCCTGTAATTTTATATACAACGCGGCCCATTGAATAAAAAATGTGGGATCCCAAATTAGTATAAAAATAATAAATTGTCAAGCCTCGAGAATTAATATCGCTCGCGATTTTTCCGAGGATTCTCTTCGAACGATGATTTTGGACGATGATTTGTCGTGCATGATCTTTAATCGTCCATCGTCGAAGGATTTATATAGGGGATAATATATATGAGTAACATATTACGCGAGGAGGCCGATAGTTCTCTGTGTAAATACGTCAGTGATAGTAATATCGATAGGAATTAATTAAGCACGGGACACACAGACTAGTAGATACTTGTATGTATTATATTAATGTAAGACGCGAATAAGATAAGTCGCGTGTATTCGCGAAACGGAGTTTCGCGCCGAGGCGACATTTATCGCTCTACGTATCTCGTCTCCCCATTCATCTTTCCTCTCTCATCCTCGACCTGTTACCGTGTCAACATTACCTGTAATAAACGCCTCGCTGCTTCAGTTGTGACGTCGTATTCATCATGCCAAGATAACGGAGCGTTGATTGACTTATCGCGGTGGCATTAGCACGTGTAATAGTAATAATAGTAGCAGAGTATATATAAGTAACTGGGAAGGGGGAATCGTCAAAAGAGCAAATGCGACATCAGATAATTGTGACACCGCGATGTTTTTACACAGTGATAAAAATTGATAATTGTAATACTATTGGAAAATGATAATGTTTTCGTATTAAAAAGAACTGTATGTTGCACGTAATTATATTATCGGTCTTACATTTTTGCATCTCGATATTACAATTATTTTGCGATTATTCTTGCATAAGCTATTTTTGTGCAATGCAACGTTACGCCTGAAGCAGGCTTAGATCTTTATTATTATACGACGGCGATGTCATTGTAACGGGAGATTATCGCAAATCAACTCGTTACAGAGTTAGTATGTAATTATTATCGCGACATCGTCCCACTGTAGATCATAGCGTATATTTATATATTTTAATGAGGCGAGTTTCAATAAACTCCCGCACGCACACAGACACACGTACACGAAGACGCGTTAGAGGTATCTAGTTTAATCATTAATCGCGAGTTTTTCGCGCAAGCCCGTCGACGGAAGGACAAATTGTAGCAATATGAAAGCCTAACGAAGCGTCTTAAATTATTAATTAATGATGTATGCGCGATTATTTGTACGCTTTGTATTCTTCCGATTTATCCGCTCCAGAAAAAAATAGCGTATCGGATGAATAAACGTTGGTCAGTGATTAATTAGTAATTTGACAGGCCAGGTATTAATTCGTTTTTATATACGTATAGTGAAATCTTCGCGCGAGACAGATTTCGATGTTTTTTTTTTTTTTTTTTTTAATTATTATTATACGATTTAGCGACGTAAACAATTTACGTAATATTTTTAAATTCGGATTTTTATTAAGTTTTAAGTAGGCGAACGATTCGTTACGCAAATGGACAATCCTGAAAAGGGAATCGAACGAGATAATGTAAAATAATATTCTGTTCTATACGGAGAGAGCCAAATGAATATTTTTGTTTTTTACAACTTCGATACGTTGTACAACCGCTGCGGAAAAGAAAAGTTATATAAATATTATAAATATATACATATATATTATCGTATGTAAGTTATAAATACGCGCGGGCTTACTGTATTTATAACTTATATGTTTATACATGCAAAATATAGAAACCTATATAATCAGAGTCGTCGTAATCTCGTTGATTTCGTCTTCGTTGTTTGCTTTTGTTCTCCTTTCCGCAGGTAAACGATCACTATACTCGCATCTGCGAGAAAATCAAAACGACGGTAATTTTTGATGAGCCCGTTTATTTTTTCCAGTCACGAATGTGAGAGGGTTGCATGGTTGATACACAGTATTTATACACAATATAATATAATTTTTTTTTTCCTCTTTTCAACTCTTTTTTTACGTGCTCAGATCCTAAGCTACAATTCTTATTTCCGTAAGATTAAATCCGTAACGCATTATGCGAGGAAATGATTACTTATACTTTACTTTACACAATTCATTGTTAATCGATAGGTCAATCTCGCAAAATCGACCCAAATGCACACTCGTATTACAGGCTTCAACATAAAAATTAATATAAAAAATGCACTCATATATTAATAATATTCTTCTTCACCTCTCTCTCTCTCTCTCTCTCTTTCGCGCCCTCTCTTTTTCTCTTTCTTTCACTTAATTTTACCATCGATCAATTCATTTATGCCTTATTGTCACGAGTCAGAATGCCTGTTGGTATGTATCTGTTAATATTTAATATTTTTATCAAAATCGAGTTTACAATAAATTATTTACATTTTAATTAAGAGCGTACTAAAATTTATTTTGACATTTGCAAAATTATTACTCCTATATTCTCGTTAATAATAATATTTGTGTGCTCTTTAATACGATTTTCAATAATAATTATTATCGCCATAGTAAAAGGCAATAAAACTGACAGGAAGTTTTAAATATTAAGAACGTACTCAATGGACGTTTATTTAAATGTGTTATAGCTGAGAAAGTTTAACAGTCTTTACGTTACGTAGTCTAAAATATTTTACTTAATTCCCCCTACCCACAGGCATCCTGAGAAGCGTTGATGAGTGTTTGTGATTCTCGAAACATGTTCCATAAAAATATAGCTAAATGACGAAGAACTATATAATTATCACTTGTGGCGAGTAACATCAACGATCCGTCTTTCTGCTGACTATTGTGGAGAAATAATCTAAATTCGCGAAAAAAATTATTGTCCTATATCGCAAAAAAATTAAGAAACGTTAATAATTGTAAGAACCATTTTATTCATTTGAATGTCCAAATTTTTGTAAAGCGGACGAATCGCCGAGTTGCTCCCTTAAATACGATATTGCGGTAACTAAAACTATTGTAGGAAGTTAGGATAATTCTTTTCAATTAGGCGAGATCTCGTTTCAAGAACACCCTGTAGAAAAAGCTTGGTCCTAGAACAATTTTACTAGATATGTGCAATGGTACTGTTTCTTGCGCTTAGATTATCTTCTGCACTGAGAAACAAAATTCTAGGGATGCAAAGTATAGTGCATATAATACTACATCGAATAAAAAAAAAGAAGAGATCTTTCACCGGAAAGAACAAAGTGCCATTAAGAATGAAAACGGCTAATCGCGGCAAAGCGGTCGAAATGAAAATTTCATTCGGTGAATTTTGCTCCCCGGACACTTTATAAATGCTATTATTTTTTTTTGTATACCAAAATCGAAACTCTACTTAAGTATATTTACGTCTTGAGAGGCACAAACGCGCCCAAAGATCGAGCAATATACAAACTATTCTTATCAACGGAAATACATTTTTATACAATCGATAGCGAGAACGAAACTTTCTTTCTCTCTTTCTCTCTTTCTTCTCTTTGATTCCTTCGTAATTGATTTTAGAATAGATGAGGATTTTAGAGACTCAACAAACAATATAATCATAATACGGTGAACATTTATAAGTTCATGCAATTAATAATAAATTGTCGAAAATGAGGAAATAATATAAAGCGTATTTTAATTTTTTATTTATTGTTGGAATTTATATCAAAAGTACGCATGAACTTATAAACTCATCTTAATAATTATCATTTCTTCAAATGTTATCTGCTTACTTCCTCATTTATTAAATTGCCTACTACTATTTCTCCTCAATATGCATTAAACGTATAGAATGTTTTTTCAGAGAAACGTTTCTCTCCCTTCCATTTTATTAAAATTAATTCCTCCTTCCAAATAGCAGAAGCCTAATATTTTTCGATCCTTCTTTAAACCCCATTTATTTTCTTCATCTTGTATCGAACGCGCCGACTGACTTTACTCGATTGATCCACGTACGTTTGCATTGAGCACATATACACATACGCGCGCACATACTCGCATACACACACGCATTTTATCACCAGTGGCAGTAAAATGTAAAACTATTATGCGACGTTGACAATCGAGTGCCAGCGCGTAACAAATGCACTTTTAACCTCTCTGTTTTACAGAAATGCGGATTATTACGATTAAATTAAAATTAGGAATTAACTTAAACGGAAAAGACGAACGCGAACGCGTGTGTAAAAAAAGTGCGTTTTGCCGAAACGAAGAGTTAATCTCTTCCACGCACGTGTGCACAGATTTCTCTTTCTATCAGGGATGCAAGATATATTAACGATAGATATTCTATGTTTCTTGCAATAAAATACAATCTTTTTTCGTAAAATAAATAATAAAGTAAATAGTTAAATAAAATAATAAGATACATTTTTTTTAGTGAAACTTTCATGAAACGATACTGTAAATGGACAAAGTATTTTCTTTACATTTTCAATAAAAAGGATAAAAATATGTCAGAGAAATAAAAATAGTTGTTAGCATCTACCTATATATAATCACAGTTTTTTTCACAGTAGTCTCTTTTCAGTAATTTAATGTTCTAAAATTCTTTCTCTTAAAATTGGAGTTTGCGACATACTTCGGCGCTTCCATTAATTAAAAAAAAAAACCATTAATATCTTTGCAAATATATCTTTTCTACGGGCATTAATATCGAATATACGAATATATCGATATTTTTGGATATTTGCATCCCTAGCTTGTCTTGAAAAGTAAACGCGTCAAAAGCGTGTTTAAAACTAAAAGAAGCGATATTCCGTAAGTATGAAACATTTGCCGGACAATGCTGGATTCTCAAAGATCGTACAGTTTTCAAATTGCGCACGAGTGCCAAAAATTAACGAAGTTGAGATAACGCGATACACGTATAGCAAACATCGCCTATATCGGAGGAACGCTATGGGACTAAAAAACTAATAGCTTAAACAACGTTTACTTAATTACAGTGACATTTTGATCGTTATCTCAACTTTTTGGCGCGCGCTCTGATCGGATTTTTTACTTTTTTATTCGGCTCTTCCGTTCTAGTTCTAACATAGTTCATCTCACGGAGAGAGATATAATCGCGATGAGACTCGCAATCGCCATTGGTTTTTCTTTTCACCCACAAAGATATGTATCTCGCGCGTAAATTATTTTGAAGTATACACGCATCTCTCTTAAATGCGAATTTTTGAATTAATAATGTATACGTTACATCCGAATCACGTGTATAATTTAGAGTGAGTCCTCTGTTCATTTTAGTAATTAATCTAATTTGAGGAAGAAGGCTTGTGTAATAAACGTGATTCATATACGTGCGTAGATTTCTTATTCAAAATTCATTTAAAAGTAATTTTTATTTGCCGGACAATGCTGGATTCTCAAAGATCGTACAGTTTTCAAATTGCGCACGAGTGCCAAAAATTAACGAAGTTGAGATAACGCGATACACGTATAGCAAACATCGCCTATATCGGAGGAACGCTATGGGACTAAAAAACTAATAGCTTAAACAACGTTTACTTAATTACAGTGACATTTTGATCGTTATCTCAACTTTTTGGCGCGCGCTCTGATCGGATTTTTTACTTTTTTATTCGGCTCTTCCGTTCTAGTTCTAACATAGTTCATCTCACGGAGAGAGATATAATCGCGATGAGACTCGCAATCGCCATTGGTTTTTCTTTTCACCCACAAAGATATGTATCTCGCGCGTAAATTATTTTGAAGTATACACGCATCTCTCTTAAATGCGAATTTTTGAATTAATAATGTATACGTTACATCCGAATCACGTGTATAATTTAGAGTGAGTCCTCTGTTCATTTTAGTAATTAATCTAATTTGAGGAAGAAGGCTTGTGTAATAAACGTGATTCATATACGTGCGTAGATTTCTTATTCAAAATTCATTTAAAAGTAATTTTTAAAAATTGTTTTTTAATAATTAATTAAAATAATAAATAATTTTTAAAATAATTATGATTTTTAGAAGTTTTAGTGATAACGTGACATCGGTATCTGTTAACGAGGAGGATCAAGCATGTTATCTCAAAAGTATCTGAATAACCAATTATTTTTGTCCTTTATAATTATTCTCTCCCGTTACTCGAATAAACCATTGAAATACTCGAATGTTATCTGTTGCTTAGAAAAGTAACATTTACATCACGATACTGTATCGTAAACATCTGTCCCATACCGACAACGTTAATATAATCTGGAAATTTAATGACGATATTGATTTTTTAATTAACTTATGATTTTCTAGATTTTATAATTAACTTATCAAAGCTCGAAAATTCCTCTAATTGCAAATTCTCTAGCAAAAATATTTAATTTAAAAGCATGCAATGTGGTATTATCGCGTATATCTCTTCGCCGTGGAACGAGAGACAACAGCCTTATTTCAAAATTTTGTAATCGAACGGGCGGATCCTGATGGAAGTCCACGACGAGATCCGAATCTAGACGAGCCGCGCTTCGCTTCTCGCGCACGAGTTTTTGACATTTCCTACCCTTTCGGCGTCCTGACACAATATGGCTGTCTCTTGTTGCCTAGGACACCGTTCCTTCACCCTCGAAGAGTCAGAAGAAAAATATAATCGATCTGTCGAACCGATATCCGTCAACGATTGCGGTTCGAAAATCGTCAAGAATCCTCCTCGAGTTTATGTTTCGAAGAGAGCTCGTCATCGTCCTTCCGATCTCGATTCGACACGTCTTGACTGATTACACCTGAGCGGGTTTCGATTTGCCGGCCACCAGCATTATCTTTTGCAGTTGCTTTGTCACGCTTACTGGAACAAGACGAGAGAGATACGTTACAAACATCCGACTTACGGTGATCCAAAGTCTTCGGATGCAAGTGCGGTTCTAGCAAGAAATCGTAATTAATTGATAGTACGATCTGTTGTTACAATAGTTTGCTTGATATTTGAGTTGTTAGAGCTTTGAGGGAAATTCGATCTAGTACACGTGTCGATGTGTTTTTGGTGTCGGTGTGTGAGATGTGCGAAATCAAATCTCAACAATGTCCTAATCAACTCAGGCAAAAGTGATGACGATTACACAATTAACTATAAAATGATGTTTTTCTCAAATAAAATTGATGCTGTTTCAGTTCTCGCTGTTGGTTGGCGAGAATATTTTGGAAAGCAATATCTTTCTCTGATTCGAGAAAAACATATCCATGATTGATTTGGCTGAATTTAAGAATTAGTATTTCCGGCAAAAATAAAAGATATTTTTAAGAATTCGATAATATTAAAAAAACTAATCTGAATAAAAAATTCTTTTTTGTCTTTTTTAAATCATTCAGAATTTATCTTTAAAAATACAGAGAGATATTATATATGAGATTTTCTATTTTAAACAACGGATTTTCCGATTGAATAAAATAATGTCGGCGACGCACTAAAAATTGAATCGTATTCTAAACTGAGGAAATGATAAGCGGGATGAATAGATGGCAAGCAAATATATTTCCTATAAAGTTTCTTTTAAATAATAAAAGGGCTAATATATTTGTATATAAAATTGATGGTCAAGATAAAAATATTGTGCAATAAAATGTAGTGCATAGTATAGTCAAAGAGAAAATCGTGATTGAGACATGCATGGTGTATCGAGAGTGATTTCGAAAAACGAGAGAGTAAACGTGTGTTAGATAGGTAAGATGAAAAAGCGAAGCAACGGAAACGGATGAGTGCTAAGCATGCGTGACATATGATAAGAGTAAAATTATGTTACAGCGTGTTTTGAACCTTTGTCTTTTGTGGCCCCACGACTACCATTAGCTTCTGCAAAGTTTTGGTGATGGCGCCTGCGGGAATAAATTAATTAACAGAAACATAGGAAAATGAAAAATTGCAAAATCGCGAACTCGGCGAGAAATTGCTTAAATTCTATATTAAAATGTTACGAGAGCGAGAGATACATAATAGTCGATGCGATATTTTTCCTTCTTCCATTTCTCTCTTCAATCTCGTTCTCAAAGATCTTTCACAGAAATAAAGCAAAGAAAATCATCTGATATTTATTATAGTTTCCGAAAACTAAAAATTTCTGTTAAATATCGCGTGTTTGTTCGACGTATCAATAATTTATTTCAATCGACACATATCGTGCGATCATATTATATTTGCTGGACTCACCGACTCCTTGCTGGAAGAATTTCGGCTTGTTCTTCCACGCGATGAACGCGAAGTAGACAGGTACAGAGGAGAGTATCATCAAACAGCCGTATCCTGGAAGATATAATTATTTTCGTGAGATGTTCTTTATGACGGAATTACGATTTGTCGATAACGGATTTTTACCTGTTTCAACGGGACTAGCATACATCGGAACTATAGTAACGAAGAGGGTGGCTAAGATGTAGAAGAACGGAAAGATGAGATTCACCTTGATCGGCCTCTCCAAATTTGGCTGGCTCCATCTGAGCCACGGAAGGCATAGCACGGATACACCTATGCTAAGCTACAAAAAAAGTTAAAAAGATATTTAAGATTGAAAATAAAAGATAAAGAGATTGAAAATCTTAGAGATTGAAAGAATTCAGATAGAGTTGAAACTATTAATAAAAAAATTAATATATTACTATAGCAGAAGAATATCTCAAACTGAAAATATCGCGATTTTGATGATAAAAATGATCAAATTCTTGAAATATAACTAATGGAAAATTTAATATATTTTGTAATTAAATATTTAAGAATGATAATAATAATTCTTTATAAGAGTCGAATATATGATTTTTTTTAATTACACAAAATTTAATGATCTGAATGATAATGTATATGATTCATATATATGTTGCGAGATTAAAGATGAAAATTTATATTTAAAATAAAAATATGCATAAGAAGAGATTATTGAAATAAGGTAAACAAATATGTCGCGTAAAAATTGACTCTAAATTGGTTTGAAGATGTTGTGAAATATATCCATCGGTGAATTTGGATCGCGGTACGACGTTACAAAGCAGTAATATTTTAATAGAGAGGCTGTTATGTATGCAGAATAAGATACTGTTTCGACAATGAGTCAAAGCCAATTATCCCGAGCCAATTGGAAAATTATTATTCATCCGGTCAAGCTAATGTTTCGTTACGGACAGGTATGTACATAAACTCGCGGTGATCATGCGATCTTGACGATGCGCGTTGCATGATCTTCGTGACGAAAGATCATTCGGCATTTTGCACAATAAATGGAGAAAAAGTTGACCTGGTGATTCAGGTTTACGTTTTATTAAAATACGAACACAAAAATCATGGCCGCGATAAGATAATCGTCTCTTCGAACGTAAAATTATTTCTTAGGATTTTGTACGCGCACTGTTTTCTAAGAGATAGAGCAGAATGCGATCAATGAAAATTGTTATACGTACCCAAGTAGCGAAGCCCACGTAATTGATGAGAGCGGAGATGGCGGAAGAGCATAGATATAGCATGGAGAGCAGTGCCTAGAAAAGATTGCGAGTTTTCAATTAATACTGTTTGTCTGTGTGATGGTCGCTACCTTGAATTCTGACAGAGTTAGTTTGACCATACAGCAACAGGTTCGAAGCAATCTACTACCTAGTTACATTGTTTTCTTGTTTGTTGACTCTGGCAGCAATCATGTTGGTCAATAAACGAAGAGTCTGCTTTTATTTATACACACGCGAAACTTTACGCGACACGCAATTTTATTTCATAATCTTAAGGCATAAAGAAGAATCAATTCGATGTATTACGATTATAAAAATAATGACATTGTTTATTTCTACCAACACAAAAATTTATCTGTTTCTACTACATTGTTAGCAAAAAATGATATTATTATATTATTAATATATTATTAATCGCCATGATTGCTAGCTATGGTCTTCGATTTATATCTTAGTTCATATATCTCAAGAAGCGAGGAGATAAGATGATATTTACGATTAGAGAGAAGGGCGATTTTTACCATGCACAGTACGGCGGGTGTGGGCGTGAGCCTGGAAATTTGGATCATCGTCAATAACTCCGGCATCTGACCTTCGCAGGCACCCGCATAAAAAAGCCGTGAGGATGTGAGTAAAATACCGTTGACCGCACCGAACGTGGACAGAGCCACGAAAACCGGTATCGTCCATGCCATCACGCCGAACAATCTGTTTGCGTATGTCTGCGGACAACAAGAGCAGTTTAGAAATTTTTTAGAATAAGAGAATTATTTGGGAAAATTATATGAATTTATAGAATATATGATACAGTAAATAAAATTAATATAAATAAAAAGATAGAAATATTACTTTTTTAAAAAGAGAAAGAGAGAGATTATATATATAATATCTATATAATATGATGATTAAAATATATTAATGAATTATTATGATATTAGTTTCCCGTGTGACTTTATTTCTTCCGAAGAAAGTTAAGAGATTCCGTTTTGAGTTTATTAGAAAAGTATATTTGCGATTAATTACCACTGCCACAGCTTCGCTACCGAGCACTTCGAAGGGGCTTAGCGTCGTATAGAAAGCCATGTTCGTGAAGACGTAGACAACCGTAACTAGAGTGCACGAAATGGCAATCGCCCTCGGTAGATTTCTAAATAAATGCACGATTAAATAATGATTTTGTAGCAATTACTGTATCACTAGATTATTTTTTTAATTAGAATTTGTTTTGCGTATTGTGTTTAAATTCCTGCGCGATATTTTCGAAAATTCTCTCACCTAACGGGATCCTTTAATTCCTCGATTATGAAGTTCAAGTAGTTCCAGCCGTTGTAAGCGAACAAGCCTGAATAAAAACTAAGGGCTATAGATGTGACTTCCGTGTTTGTGTTGTCGAATGTGAAATATTGCGTGTGTCCTAAGAAAAGAGAACAAAAGGATATCGCCAATGTAAATTATTGTTTCGTTAATTAGGATGTAAATAAGCGCGATACATAATTATATAATTCCCAATATTTCTGATATTAATATTTTCGGTATCAAAATATTTTTTTATAATATTTCTTCTTCAATATTTAATTTAATTTATTTCCTCTGTGCATAAAAAATACGAGCGTAACTAAGATATTCGACTATTATCTCGAATCCCCCCCGATTTATGTCTCGATAAAATGTTTTAAACTGACATTTTATTTTTTTATATTATTAATCTTTATTAAACCAATTTTTTTTTAAAAGAGCTTTGAAAGAAATTACTGACTAAAGTCGAGCGTACGATTTTGCGCAAGGTCGTTGAAATGTTTCATCAGAATCAAGATGATTGTCGTATACACGGTCAAGGAACCATTTGGTTCGCTGAATAGCCTAATTTAAGCTATTCCTTGCACGCACACCGACTATACGTCGCATCGCCTGCATATTTAACCCACCTTTTTGATTGGGTAAATTGTCTCGTCCGGCACAATGTGCAATGCTAAAAAGACATCTAACTTCCGGTTGATTTCTGTTCTCCAGTTTCACTCATATAAACGGACGGTAAAGTTTCATTTCTCGCCGAGGTTTCATTTCTCGAGTGATTGGAGATATTGATTTATTTTGAACAAAAATGGACTTGAAGGTATCTTTTTTTTTTGCAGGAGATTTAAAAATTTCTGTAATTGATATTAATACTTTTAGATATATAGTTTCTTTATATATATTTATTTTCTTTCTATTAGTTTCTCCATTTTCTTGAACTCGTACACTCGTATTACATTCGTTTATTACACTCGTTTTTGCGAAATTTTCTTTTGTTTATTGATATGATAATTTAGACATTCAATGGTAAAACTTACCAGTGCAAAGCTGATAGGCTCCCGTGAAAATTATGATGAAAAGCGCGAGCAGTTTCGCATATGTGAAAATATCTTGCACTCTCGTCGCCCATTTGACGTCCCAACAATTTATGAAAGCCAGAATACCTGTAACGTCAACGTGAATAGCGCTGTTAATTATCGTGCAATTAAAATGTATATATTAATAAATTTTATTAATATTTATAATAAATTTTTTTTTTATAAATTTAAATAACTCGCGATTTTTTGTAATTAATGAGAACGATACAATTTATTTTAAATTATTTTTTAATTTAATATATTACATCAATAAGAGGTGTGATACATTAATCCAGTATGACTCGCATAAATGACATTAAGTCACTTTAATTAAGAATTATGCATAGTCGCGCGTGCCACTGGATCACACCCGATCCCACGTGTATCGTTTACTTGTGTCTTGATGTTCTGCCATAATTTTATGATAATTAAAGTCCGTTATAGTCTCCTAACGTGCCGACTTCAATGGAATCGGTTGCGCGATTTCTTCGTTTCAGACTAACTGGCACCAATTCAACAACCTAGTAATCAGGGCGAAGAGAGTAGAAACACGTCGATTTATCGATCACTTAGAGAAAGTTCCCGTAATTTACGAAGAAAATTTATGATTTTAAATATGCGATAATCTCTTCTATTGTGGATTTCGCGAAAATACAAATTGTCGCGATAATGATTTCTCATTAGCATAACTCGGCAGTAGTGAAGCTTAGTAATGACTTTAATGTATATATGACTTTACATCGATGGTTATCGTAGAAAAGAAACATAATACTTTACTACGCGTGAAGCCATAGTATTTTAACAGGATAATTACTGGGAGCCAGCAATGGGTTCTACGTATGTTTTTATTGATCGTTATATTTGCTGGCATTGATCGTTATGACATAATAACGACAGCAGAAAATTAAGTAAAAAATAAATAACCCTTATTCCAAAAAGTGGATACGTCAGGATGATTGCAGTGGAATCAATGAAATTGCGCTAGACAAATATGTAATAATCTAATAATCTATAATATTTTTGAAATTAATAATAATATTTTGAAATTAGTATTGTACTTTTACATGGGTGCTTCAGTCAGATAAATTTTACGGAACTCGTTCCACGTTTTCTTTCAGTACTAACAATTAATAAGAATGTTTAGATATTGAGATTAGATGAAAATTTTTTGCAAAAGAAAAAAGTTCCGATTATTAACCTTTGACGCCGCGACGTCATTTCAGAGCTGCGTCCTTGATGGAAACAAAAAGGAAGAAGGAATCGAGATAGACAGAAAGAAATAAAAAGAGAAAGAGAGAAAGAGAGAGACTGATGCAACATCTTGCAGAAATATCGCGAGACTTTTCTTTCCCCTTTGCGTGCCTTCCTCAAGTCTCTCCTCCTCCTCCTTTTCTTTCTCCCTTCGTTCACTCGTTTTGTCCTTCCTTTTCGCGTCGTCATTTCCCCCCTACCGGCGAATTATACTGTTGTGGCCAATTGCCACGTTATGAAATTACATTTGTTCACAATGAGGCGTGATTGCCATCGGGCTTTTGACTCGCGGGACTCCACGCGCGTCTTTCATCGACATTTCCAGTTAATCTGTGTCGATCATCACTTTCCACTAACCGTTTATGTGTTGCGTGACCATCCTTGTGATCACGCAACATTTTTAATACAGATTTAAATCTATTAATTCGAAAATTACAATTATGTATCATAAATCTATAATAAACTGTAGAAGGCTTTGTAATGCATAATCTTTGGTTTATTTGTCATAATAACTAGAAGAATAATAATTAGTCACATCGCGGGTCGCGTTGCATCTAACACTAATCGAAAAAGCGCGGATTCGCTCGTGAGCGCTCTGGTCGTTGATCTCTATCACTTGCTAGAGTAGAATGAAAACATATTGCCATTGATACATATGAGAAAAGCAAAATTAAATCGCATATGTTTTACATATAATTATGTATGGCAGAGGATTTTATTTACATTCTATATCTTCATAAATATCTTAATTACCAGTTTAATTAATGAGTCGTTTAGGGTGAAACAAATTTCTTAATTGAATAATTTGAATTAACGAAATATTTTTCGCAATTCTGTTTGAATTTTTTAATCATCAATGTTAAATGATTAGATAATAAGTGAATCGGAAAAAATTTCTTTCTATTTGGAATATTTACCTTGAAATTTAATTATCGATATTAAACGGTTAGATAATAATATATAAATCGCGAGAAATTTCTTTCAAGAAATAGAGGATCGTGAATTATTTTTTAAGAAATCAGAATGTGTGTTCGCTATTACTAATTTATAATCTTCTTCAGGATGGACACCCGATAGATCTCGGTGAATATTGTAAAGGCGACGCTCATTTATTCGCAAATGACACTTCCATCATTGATCGAATGCGTTCGCGCTTCATTTTCCTTGCAGGAAAACCTATTCCCGGTTCGTCGAGCGATTTATCGGAGGAAGTAAATGGAGCTCTATATACGGCAAAATCTTATTTCGAATGATAGACGAGTTTTACAAACTGTGTTTTTACGACGACTATTCACCGCTTTGCGTCTCGCAGTATTTTTCTCGTGTCAAATTTAAAATAAATGCAATCTGTCGGGCAGGAAAATTAGAACTATTTGTTCACAATTGATTAATTTTGCAATTGTTCGATGGTCCAGTACTCCGGAACTGTATCGTGCTTATATTTTAATATGTGAATGATATCAGGTTCTCGAAACGCTGTGTGACGATATTTAATTCAAAAATTGATATGAATTATATATTTAATATTTAATTTTAATAATTATTTCACATTCGAGATATTAATTTTGCCGTACATTTTGCGGGAAAGAAGTGAAATCGTATCTCTCTCGCGTAAATATTTACAAGGACAGTGCTTCGTCAATGGTTTCTTGAAAAAAGTGACCGCTGAAATGCGGTTACGTTTGCGTATCTGTAAAACGATCCATTGCACGCAGGAGTGATATCGAAACAAAAAAAGTGCGCAGTTAAACCGCAATGAAGGCGACATATGTCTGCTCGCGGTCGCATCTTTGTCCGCAATTTAAATTTGTCAAAAATGGACTTTCTTTCAGTTTCTTCGCGCAATATGCAACGCGTATCTACCCTACATAAAACAATCGTATTTCTGAAAATTAACGCAATTTAGAAAAGTTCATTGATTAATAAATCAGATATAACCGTCTAGAATTTTCCTATATAAAATTATTAATTCCATTGCTTAAAAACAAAACAAAATTCTGCGTTTTTTAATTCAATAATTATTTTTAATTTAATTTAATTTTATTTCTATTTTTTCCAGTTCCTTTTTTTCATTATTATATTTTAAAAAAGAAGATTATTTCTCGAGAAGACTTATTTTTTTTTAACCTTATTAGTAACTTATTAGGCTAATAACTAGCGATCTATGTCTTGTTTGTCAAGAGGAAAGAATAGTTGAAGCCTCTCTAGAAGATTAGTATAGAGGGAACAAAATCTCAAGGGTAAAATATGACGTAGGAAAGCTCTCGTGGCTGTTAGATTATTGTCGATCTTACTGCTCTGGGAATTCCGTATATATTCAGTCTGACAAATACAATAGTTGCATGAACACAAAGAATACTTCTGATAAGAAATTCTTTTCCTTTCTGCAGGAGAAAGAGCGCTTTTCTTGCAACAAGATGTTCAATCGCATTTCTCGCAAAAACTCTTGATTCTAGCGGAATCAAGAAAAGATTGCAGAGTCTGTAATTATTTTTATTTTCAACATTGTAATTTTTGTATAATGGATATGTTCGTAATTTCTTTATATATTTGATAAAAAAAGTAAATTTTTAACACGATGACGAGATATTTGATCTAACGTTCTGTTCGCTCTCTTTGATCACGCTAAAATATCCACCGCATCATTATCACCCCAGAAAATTATCAAGACGAGAGTCAAAGGCCTCGGAAATAGCATTCTACAAAACATGATTGCTGTGAGAAAGACGAATTTTCTACGTACGGGTCACATTGTCGGCCCGTTTGAAATCGTTAGTGCACGATGAACGGGCGAGCCAATGAAGTTCAATTCTCTCGGTCTCGGTATTGTATCACGATTATTCGTTATAGAGGATCGTAACATTGGTCCTGTTTGATTGCAATTGCGTACGATAAATGTCTCGGCGGATATAAGCTTAATTGCTGTTACATTGTGTTCCTTTACATGCGGACCACGAAATCCTCGTATAGTCGCGCGATCAACAATGCACTATGCCACTCAAAAAAGTGGTATTGCAACTACAGCAAAAATTTTCTGGGTGCGCAAAATTAACTGAGGTACATAAATGATTAGCAAATACTGTGATATCGCATATGTTTCGCATTTAATCAATCTAAGTGACAGAGACAGAATTTATATCTGAACTGTTTGTGAAATTTAGAAAGAATGTTTTTCTGTGGCGTCTATCCATGTTAAGGCCAATCATATTTGTTATAAAGTTTGGCTGTGGTACACAGAAAAAATTAGCAGCAAGAAACAGATGAATATATAATCCTCACATCTAACATATTTGTATAACGCGCCCAATCTATCTAGCTCTTTTAAACAATTTTTCTCAATTTTTCGATGCTGCAGTTATAATTGGCAGTTATATTTCTCATAAAGATCGTTCTAGCTGTAGTATCGAAACTCATATTTATCCAATGCAGTGATTAACATTTGGCAATGGGACCTAAATTTTCTAGAAGATATTATTAGAATATTGCTGCTATAAATTCTATATGTAACAGACAATATTCTAACAGATACAAAAAATAGCGATAAATTTTTGTTGTGACACCTAGAAATCTACCTATATCAGCAAGACATTTTTTTTAGTGTGTCGGTTAATCTCGCGGACAGAGAAAGTATCTACATATATATGTGTCACACTCGATTTATACGCTAGCAAATTTATAAATGTTTTTTCCATTTTCACTAAATGTGGAAAAAGATAATTAATTTAATTTTATATTAAATAATTATGAATATATAATTTTTAATTTCACTAAATATTTAATATTAGTTTTATTTTATATAGAAAATAGATTGAAATTTTTATTCAATTTCTCCCACACGAATTTAAAGAAATATAATTTTTTGTATTTTATTTTTTACATATTGTATTCTTTAGATACATCGCGATTAATGGAGAGTTTTAGAATTCCAATATGTACTGTTTTGAGTCGTCTGTTTAATTCATCGGGAGATACAATTTTTCGTCATCTACTTACATATGCAGCAGGCGGCAAGCATTCTTACGGGATCATCCGGCGGCGTGCAGTCCGGGAAGAGTGGTTTGAGGACGTAGACACTGAAAGTCAAGGCTACGATGGCCTGGCTGCAAGGACGCACTATCATACATTCAACCCATAATCTAACGAACGCCAGGAAAGGCCCGAAGGTCTCCATAATGTATGCATAATCCGCGCCCGACTTCCTGATCATGCAGCCGAGCTCGGCGTAACAGTAAGCTCCTATCTATCGAAAGATACAAAAGAAAAGGATAACGAATCAATATTTAGTATACAAATATTTGTTGTATTAGAACATACTTATCAAAAGATTAATGAGTATTTAAATTAATTTGCATTTATATGTCTCTCTTCAATTCGCGATAGCAGGCAGACGTCTCGAAAAAATAAAGAATGTAAAAAAGATGTTTGTGCTTGTGCGCAAAAAATCCGGATTATTAATTTATTTATACTCTCGGTATAAACGGTACTTTTTGTATCTAAAAATCTGTTGTAATTTTCACAGCTGATATAATAATTAAATAAATTAAATTTCTTATAATTTTTTTATGAGAAAAAAGAAATCGATAATCGGCGATAATCGAAAGGGAATTAACTTTTGTAATAACGAGAAAAAAATTATAAATACCATGGAATAAATTCCGGACGCCGTCCATACGAGAAGACTCGCGTTCACGCTTCCGGTGTATTTAAGTACGCCCGTAGGACTGACGAAAATACCGGAACCGATGATGGAACCGACGATAACGGTGACGCCGTTGAGAAGCGACATTTTCGCCTCCAGTTTGATCTCGTCATTGCCCTTTTCACTGGTAGGAACCGGATCGTAAGGGCCCTTCTCGCCATCTTTGATGCTTCCTGATTTTGACATTCTTTCTGAAATGCACAACAAAAGTTTTGATTTGTTATTAAAATAAAAATTCATTATTAATGATTTATTATTAAAATAATATAATTATTAAATTCAATTTTCAACTTTTTTATTTTGAAACATGAAAGAAAGTGATAATATTTATGCCGTGACGCATGCTTTCATTATCAATAATTTGTTACTATCGTACTATTGTTTTTTGTTTACGAATAAATATGTATTGTGATAAAAATAATCTTATAAAAGAACTTGAGTTATGCTATAGATTTTATTGCATTTTCGAAAGGGTCGTTTTATCGCCGCACGATTATTTTGCCCCAGTGAAATTTTATCGAGTCAATAGACTCGACAGATTGATGTACATACATATATGCGGGTATTATACATATATTATATATAAACGAGAGCAATTTAAAAACTACGATAAAATAACCGCAATATATTTATACATGTGTATAAGTCAATGTATTTTATCGATTCAACTTTTTCGACGTCGCAGCAAAATAATCGTGCGGGAAAACCGCTCGTGTACACGAACTATTGTGCATCTGTTTGATTATTTAGATTCGTGTGGTTTTGTTATTGCTATTGAAGTTCACCAAGAATAGTAAATTGATGATCATATTAAGGTGGTTACATACAGTTACGTAACAGTCACTATAAAATTCTTCCTCTTTCTTGAATATTTTTTGTATGTTCTTTTACGACAATTTAAAATAAAATATCATATTTGAAGATCAACAGGTTTTACAAGATTATTTGCGATTCTCGCAGAATCAAGAGAAGGCGATTTTCGATTTTAGTACGGCCATAAAGTACGGAGAAAATTTATCTCTGCATCCTCGCGTTTCCTTTCGTCAGTTCTAAATGATACGAGAAATGAAGCGAGAAATAGATATATAAATCGCGATTCTGCGTTTCGTAACCGACGCTCTCTCTCGAAGGATTTTCCGTTCTTGTCTTGAATAATGCATTGGACAATCGCGCAAAGTGAACGACTTTTATTAGCTAATGGCATTGATTTATCTCAGGGAAAAGGCTTCTTCCGTTCGGGAATATACGTAAGGATGCGGGTAAGAATCTTACGTGGGAGGAACATACTCTTCATTTCTCAGAAAACTGGTGACTCTTATAGCACGCATAATATGTTTTTCATTTGCCGGCAACAGGTTCCTATCAATATTAACCAGGCGAGCGATCGATCCGTTAATTAAAACGCAATTAGCCATTAAATGCGCGTTATTAAACGATCGTAAAAAAAAATTGCGAGCTGTGGGAATAGCAATACGTGAGAGACAAATATATATATAACGTGACAAAGCCTGTATTTGGAAAAAAGAAATGGAAAATTGTAGAAAATTCTCTGTATATTAATACTTATACTGTAAGTGTCAAAATAAATATTACTGATACGTATATAATTATAATTATAATTTTTTTCTTGATATTTCGTTATTATGTAACGATGTTTATTATTATTACAATACGTTTATCGATCATTCTTACTTACGAATCTTGTGTAACTCTGTATCACTACAAAATAGAAATTGGCGATGCCGTTATCACACTTCCTTATGGACGCAACTTTATCATTTATTTACATACTCCGTCTCCGTCTCCGGGTGCGGTTGCGAGACTAACGAGAGAAGTGAGTTTCGAAGACTGTGAATTAATTCGGATTCTGCGTCACACTATCGCGGCCTTTATCGAGGACGTAATCCCGACCAATCGTACGATAGATCGTCGATACACGCCTTACAATCACCTGGCGAATGATACATTTCGAGACGGTGACAGATCTGCTCTCGCTGCGGTTCGCTCGCGCGCGCTCTTTACTCGCTTCTTATTAGTAATAAAATACCGAAAGGAGCAATATCGTGTGTTAATCGTATCCGATTTGTTATCGTATCGATTACCACCGTGCTATGCCCGCTGAGTATCATTTCAGTTCACACCTTGATTTCGAACGTTTATCGATCGCTCAATTCTCCTTGCCTGCTCCAAACTGTTTCACTAGTTATCTAGATAAGAACTTTAGGTCAGTTTTAGACTCAATATATTCTTAAGCCTATTTTAAGCGGTCTTTAATTCGTGACAAAAATCTATTTATATTTTTATGTATCGTGTAATACCAGAAAACGTTTGAGGATACACAAAAAATACGTATCAGGACACACACATATGTTAAATTACACTGCACATAAAATTATAATTAGAATCCTGTCTTGAATATTGATGAAAACATTAAGAAAAGCATTAAGCATTCTTTATGATATTTACGTTATGTAAGATAATATAAGATTGGCTTAATCCTACTAATAATTAACTAATAGTTATGCTAACAGTTACTGTTTTTAATTTTTGTCTATTCTATATGTTTTGTATCCCCAAAATTATATTTTTCTTATCATTAATACTTATTAATTAACAATTGAAACAAATTCTCATGTTGCATAGGTTGGATATCATTTCATGCGAATGTGAAAAATAATAACCGAACTACACGGATTCTAATAAAATAGTGGATACGCGAAGAAGATTGCCAAAAGTTGCTCTTTCCGTAGGTGCCCTACACATTTGTACGCGAGATAAGAGTATATATCGAATTTTTTATTTTCAGGATTCTTTATATATTTTTTAAAGTAAAACTATTTAAATGCAAATATATGCATCAATTAACATGCTATATGTATAGACAATGCGTAATATGTTATTTACACGATATTCATCCTACGTATAAATAATGTGTGTTCAAGCGAATTATTAACTTTCTTAATATGTATCCAATTTTTTTTTTCAGTAAAAATAAGATTATAGAAAATTAATTTTCTGTATTTTCCACAGATTACGGAATAATCCGAGGCAGAACTGAAGGGTCACTAACAGACATATAGAGATCACACCCACACACTTTTTTAATTGTAAAGGAAATGTGTGTGTTACAAAATTATATACGCGACTATTTAAATAAATATTCAGCCGCTCTTAAAGTAAAATTGATAACAATCAATTAATTGATAAAAAGAAAGGCCAATTAGAGCCTGGTTTTCATTAATATTATATTTTCAAAATTAATAAATTCGAACTTGTTAACGCTTGTTCTAAAGTCAACATGCATTTGCAGTTCTAATATATCCCTAATAATGAGAATTAAATACGCAAAACGATTTGTTCCCATCTCTGAGGTTAGCACATGGGTTTACCCTTAATCACATCGCATATTTCATCTCGCCCGCGATATGATGTGTCTAGTATCAAATATCTGTCGTAGTCTGTTATATTGAGTATCAGTTACAAGGCAAACAAATCCTCTGCAGGGGTTTGCACTTATACACATTCTCTCTCTGCATGCTCCATTTTTTTCTTGGAAACTTCAAAAAAAAATATATCATGATAATAAAATTATAAAACATGACAGAGAAGAGATAAGATGCTTATTAAAGTCGAGATTTTTATTTAATTTTCCTAATAATTATAAGCCAAAAATAAAATCGCCGCGTAATTACGTAATAAAATAATTTTTTCCTGCAAATAATTTTTTATTAAACATTTATATAAAAGAGAGTTTTTATTCTCGTTATATAAGTATTTATTGGCGGCACGATTTTTTGCGTACGACAATTCTATCGCGATATTTCTATGCAACACAAATTCCATGCAACGTAGAACCCCCTTAGTTCAAATCCCCCTTAATCTTTTGCGTTAGCCTGGCATTCGTACCGCTTCAGCTGTTCGAAACGCACACGCAACATACGTCGCGAAATCGCGTATACATATACAATATGTCTACCGGCAATTCCCGCTCCTTTTCTCGCCCGTCTATGTGTGGGTATTCACGAACAAACGTTCGAAAAGGCGCTTTGTCCAAGCCTTAGAGGCATCAACTAGGACCCTTCCTCCAATACCGGTTCCTAATGCCCGCCGGTTTGAATCAGGCATCCCGACAACATTCTACGAAAACCGTCGTTCCGTTTTACACGTAATTTTCAGTTATCGAATGCCATAACTTGTAATTTTCTCTTAATATTTTAATCTCCTAATTTATTAAAATTTAAAAAAAGAATTGTAAAATGCAATATAATATTTAAATTCTAATCGTCATATCTTCTTATATGTTTTTATTCTTATTTCGTTAGTTTGTCATAATATTAATTTATCGTAATTTTTAATATTCTATTATTCTTTCACGCATTTTTACATTTAAAAATTTTAGATTTGCATTGCAGGGAAAGGGAGAGGGGAAAAGGAATGTAATCGCGTGAGAAGGAAGATATAAATAAAAATCACGCGTGTGGTTTTATCAGATACGTCGATATCTCGGGGTAGAAGACCACGATATCTCGGTTTCAGTTTTGGCGCGTGCTGACTAAGCTCGCCACGAGCGACCATGGTGCCCATGAAAGTCTCGCCAATATTGCATCATTGCTTTATATCGATCCTAAACCGACCTCCATGTCTGGTTGCGTGTCTAAAGCGAACTGTATTTAACGGCACCTGCCGTAAAAGCAAAGACACCGAGGCCATCGATTTGCCTTCCATGAAAGACAATGACATGCCGATATCGCGATTTGAGAATGATGAATCACCCCGTTAATTCATCCCTGATATAACTTTTATATGAAGAGCCTAAAATAGCTATTAAACCGAGCTTAATAATTATATATATGTATATGTATATATGTCGATTTTCACAACTCGTCTTAGAAGTCATAACTTATCATAAAATAAAAAGATTGACTTCGATTTGTGATTCTCATCAAATTAGAGTCAATTTTTATTTTAATATATTTATAGGAATACGAATAATATTTAATAATATTTTGAATAATATTTTGAAATATTGAATAATATTCTCAAGTCATCTTTGAAAAAACTCGTTATTATTAAATTATTAATAACGAGTATTATTAAAATTTTAAGAATTGAATTATCTCGCTATTAATAAATGTTAATATATATATATAATGCGTAAAAATTAATTTAATTTAATTTTCGCCATTATGATTGAAATATTGTATCAAATATTAGCTCTATCTCTTTTATTAAATTTATCTCTCTCTACATGCAATTGTTAAATATCTTTGAAAAATTGTAATTATACAAATAGAGAAAAATTCTGGACAATGTTTATGTGTCATAAAATCGCGATAAGATTTCGCAAGATTTAAAAGAAGATGACCGCGTGGGTTGTATTCGTCAGGGAAAATTACGGGCATAAAGTGTAAGAGAGCAAGCAGTTCTCTTTGCGCAATTTAATAAACGATATTAAACGCACGACAGACTTCCTGTTCGCATATCGCTCTTGCTTCTCGAGTACCATCGAATCTCGTGTACTCGAGTGCACGATATTCGCGCGATGTTTAAATGAAAGGGCCAGTTTACAGCAGTGGCAGCGGCCGACGAGAAAATCAATAAGCCACGTGGGTCGCCGACCGGGTTTTCCGAACCCAATTTTCGCCCCGTGATAATGCTGCAAGATAACCGCAACGAATCGATCAAATAAGAGAAAACGTTCGTTATTCTTCTTTCTGGCTCTTATTTATGTCGATAAAGAATTCATGATGTCACGTACGGATATATTGTGATAAAAATCGAAGAGTAGGTGAAAAAAGAGCAAACTAGTGAGAAATTTTTCGCAAATGACGAAGATTCGAGTTTGCGAGATTCTCCTTAAAGAAGATCGTTATTAAACGCTTGTTTGCTTTTATCATTGCTCAACCGACTTTCAATTGAAAAATTTATTTTATGTTCTTATTAAAATTTGTATAATTTACTTTCTGAATATTTTCTGAATACTTTCTACAAAATTTATATTTTCGTGGATTTAAAATTTATTTCCTCATTTCAATCTAAATTAATAAACGTATTAAATTATGTTCTTAAAAAATTGTTTAATTTTAAGAAATTATTTTTAAGACTCGGAAAGAGAGAGATTACTCGACGAATCTTCAATTTTTTCGAATTAAGGACTTGTTATAATGTTTAAAGAGAAAGGGAATTAAATTCAAAATTAAATTCTATGTCAGGTTTTTAATAAAAAAGAATTCTAATTTTTAATAGAGTAGTAATTATAATGATATAATGAGCGCTACAAATTTTATCTTCCTCATAGAAGATAGTAAATATTTGATGCTGCCACTGCGAAGTTCACTATTTATAATATACGATCGATATAACGTAGTTAACACGTGTTTCATCGAAACAGACCGGAATTGGAACTATTAACACAAATTATTCGCAATTTTTGAAAGTGTTTTCTTTTATTAAATTTACGCCAAAAATTTAGATACGTTTTATATTATTATTTATCGTTTTATATTATTAAATTAACTAGATGACACTTATTTACTCAGCATAAAACTGCAGAGCTATTTAATTTCATTTTTTAATAATTTTAAATAATGATTATATACTTGATGTATGTATGTGTGTGTGTGTTGTGTTCTCGCAACAAGTTCCCAGAAGACGATATTTATAAAAAAATTAATTTGTGTAAAAATTAATTAATTAATTAATTTTAATTGTGTGATTCAAATATAAATTAATTAAAATAAATAAATTTTTTGTTAATAAATAATTTGTATTTGCGGTTTTCGCGTTTTGCACACATACATTGTTTACACGGTATCACTTCGCCTAATTCGATAGCATAATTCACCCCTTAACTTTCCCTATTCTAGCACGCACGACTGAAATCCACCCTTGCGCCCTCCGAGGACGGCCATACTGCGTGGAGCATGAAACCGTTGAACGCGAACATTACGTCGCATTTCGTTCATATTTCATCGATTGAATATCGCGAATATTGTGACCGTATCCGCGTATCCTATCCTGTAGTCTAACGTTCTCTTCGGTGGCGAGAGATTCCGCGAGATTTTTCATTCAACATCGGGGTGCGAAATACGCGACGCGATTCTGCGTTTCTCGCGGTGTCACTTCTCACCTGTTTCGCGGCTCCTCGCAGCAAGATCGCCTCGATGTAGATCCCAAAAAAAAAAAAAAAAATGGGAAAAACGGGAAAATTCGCGCGCGTGTCACTACGCACTTGAAGGATCGATCTCAAACGCCGGCCATGGCGCGAATTCCTCTTCCGGAGTCACTGTTTCCCTCTCTGTCTTTTTTTCTTTCTCTCCGGTCTTCGATTAGATTTTAGCACAATCGCGAATATATTGGTTCTCGTTATTATTTTATCGTCGTTTTTATAGCGATCTCGTACGAAAGTGAGCGCGAGACTGAGCCTGGGTGAAAGTGTGCACGGCACGCTGGTCGGGCTCTGAATGACCGCCGCTCTTCGTCTGCTCCGATCTGTAGCATCGCGCGTACTCGTCGGGAGTATATGTGTGTGTATGTATGTGTGTACGTGCATGAACGTGAGGGAAATCCAGACGGTGCCACCCCCGGACGACGTATCGAGCGGCCTATCGGCCGCCCCTGACGCGTCGTTCTCCCCCCGACTTTAGAAGTAAATAAAGAAAATAAATGAACAAATGGGAAAGGGATGGATTAAATGTAGGATAAATAAAAAAATTTAAATATTTCATTTAGATGATCAAAATGAATCAGGAGATTGTCATAACTTCTTAATAATAAAGTCGTATTTGATTTTATCTTAAACTTAATTTTTAAATTAATAAATTTTTTTTTT